TCCATGACTGGGCAGGTCTATTCACTCTAAGTCTATGCTTTGTGCTCTGAGTGACATCACGCGCTAGCGAACTCACCGCACAGATTGTTTTCAAAATGGAGCGAGCGAAAGGATCAGCCATCTGGGACTATTTCACTCTACATCAGCCAACACATTCGACAGCTACGTGCAATACGTGCACAGCGGCGATTCCAGGGGGTGTCACAAAAACTTCCAGTTATAACGCTACCAACTTAATCAAGCATCTCCAGAGATTTCATCCTAAAGAGCACGCTGAGTTTGGTAACGGAATTCAGCACTGTTTTTCTGTATCAGATCAGTATCGACCGATAGTAAACTTCAGATATCAGTATTGGAAGTGGAAAAAGTGGATCGGTGCATCCATATCATTCATGTTATTTTTTGCTAACTGGCAAAGTTGGCTCTAATTAGAAGTAATTAGCTTTAGCTACTAACCCACTAAACTTTGCTCAATATCAGTAAAACTGACTGAGTTATAACACTTCTTCTGTTTGACATTGTTGCTTAGGGCAGCCGGCTTGGGACCCGAAAGTCCCAGGTTTGATCCCCAGTCACTGCATATCACGTGGTGTCTCTGGGCAGCACACCTCATCCCCAAAATGCCCCCCGGGCGCTTTTAATAGCTGCCCACTGCACCACCTGGTGGTGGATGGGTTAAATGCAGAGACTAATTTCGCCATTGTATGGAAACATACAGTGCTGACATTGTGATGACATTATTATTATTATTATTACCTGTGGCAGAATTGGACTGGTTTTAAAAAGTAGCCAATAATGTAGATCACGTGATTAATTTCTAAATGTTTTTGTAAAAAGTCTGTTCTGTTGTTCATGAGATACAATAACCACAGACAAAGGCAAAAACATCATCATCCTTTATCTTTCGGAGACAGCTGAGAAATACATCTGGTATGCCACAGCATTAGGGTTGCTCTGGTTTGGCAGGAATGTATATCCAAAAACAACTTGCTCACAGACTCAAACATTCACTCGCAACCAGACCCATCTCTAATGTCTGACTCACCTTTTACTCAGACAGCAGAATGAGAAAGCTCTTTGCTTCTGTCAGGTATGGCAGAGGTGTGTTCTGAAATCTTTCTCTGTTAATAAACTTGCCCTTTTTCCAGTTAATGACCTGTCTTTCTACCTCCATGAGCTCTGACTGATCCCTGTGAACCTTTCATCAGTTAGAAGTTCTCTCGCTCCTCCTCCTCATGTCACATCTATCACTCAATCTCATGGCCATCTTTTCCCAACCTCTATGCTTTTCTGTCAGTCCCAGCTTTTTAATAGTTTCTAGACAAGTCATGTGAAAATGTTTGTGCACTAAATTCAGTAGTTTCGAACGATGGGTGTCCACTGGGATATTGATGGATTTATTGAAGAAAGGTGTGACGGAGATCGTCTGGAAGAAAATGTCATGGATGATTGAAATCAAACCTTTCTCCTTGTGGGCTCACTGTGTGTGTCAGGTGGCAGATGTCTCCCACTAAACTGAAGAATGCCTCTGCATACTGTGCATCTTTAAATAATTCAAGTCCTTAAATGACTAAAATAAATGAGAAAAGTTACAAATGGGATGTTTTGCTAAGACTCAAATGTGTAGTGATAAAATTAGCATCAATAAATACATTGAGTCACTTATAAACTGCTATTAACACAACAAAGTTAAGTTAGGTCATCTGGATGGTTTCTTTTTTTGTTGAGAAGTTTTGTCCTACATCCAAAGGACTTCATCTGACACTAAATTATCACCAGCAAACTGGTTGGCCCACAATGTAAGTGTGCTGCTTGTGAGACTCAGTTTTTTGTGGCTCCTCAGAATGATGAAGTCCTTTGGATGAAGGACGAAACATCTCAACAACAAAAAAAAAGAAACCATCCAGATGACCTGATTGAACTTTGTTGGATTTTTTTTTAACCTGGATTATTGAGCATGAACTTTGATGCTACTACCAAACTTTGCTAAACCTAACGTCTTTTTATCCATTCATACCATTAACAAATTTGCCTTAAAGTGCCTGTGGCATCAATTTTTTGTAATAAATATAAATGCATTTATGGACAAACAACATTTACAATGTATTCCAAAAAAAAATCATGCTGCTGAGATAAACGTTTTTTTTAGATATTCGCACGTGTAGTTACAGGAAGTGACAACAAAGGGGAACATGTAAATGTGAACAGAGCATTGCTAGAATTGGCTGACAACACAGACAGTGAAGAATCTGATGTTTCATTAGTTCATTCTACGGTATACCCCACCAGACAGGCTTTTAGTATCTGACTTTATTCTGTTTGCATAAATAGAGGTAGGTTCTGCCAGAAAGGTCAGAATAAAACTGCTCTGAGAGCCAGACCATAAATACTAACCACATCATGGAGCCTGTTAGTTCAAACACTATGATCAGCAGTGTTAAAAGCAGATGTTAATTTCATCTAAATCATAGCCGTGAAAGCCGCAGAGCCCACTGACATCATTTCACCAGAAGTTTCAGTAGAATGCTGCTTACAGGCATATACCGTACTTGCCGCCGTACACGTCGCACCGCTGTATAAGTCGCATCAGTCCAATATGTCTAATAAAGTGGGGAAAAAAACATGAACATGTTGCTTCGCCATACAATTTGCATCTATTATGCGTCATCGCTGTCGCGTATGTTATGCGTTACTGCTGACCACCTAGAAGCGTGGGCCAATGTTGTGCCAAAAATTGATTGGCTGCCAAATGGCAGTCGTGGGAGCGTACACGGGAGGACTTTAACAAGAATTTAACAACATCAGCACTTAAAAACAATTATTTGTTTGCTCGCCGTTATAGCAAAGGTGTGTTTCAGTTGAACTTTTCCTTAATAAATGCACATTAATGGTCAAATGAGCTGCATTTCAAAAATGGATTTGCGGGAGTGCGCAGAGGGAGGACTCAATGTGCATTTTGTCAAAATTTAACAAGATTAACACCTAAAAAACAATTATTTGTTTGCTCAAAATTATAGCAAAGGTGTGTCTCACTTGAAATTTTCATTAATAAATGCACATTAATGGTCAAATCAGTTGCATTTCGCCTGTGCGGTGCGGTGAAATGCAGCTGATTTGACCTTTGCTCCAGGAGTTCTGGAGCAAGAAGAAGATGGCTTTGTATGGCAATCCAAGTGACTCATTAATGTCCACTTTTACTTATTAATGAGACACTTGGCTTGTCATATTGGCCGAGGACCCTCTAGCGACTGAAAATGGTAGTGTTCAATATTTTCCATGTCAGAATGAATGGAATCATCAGATCGAAGCCAAAAACTGTGTTTTATATATGGGTAAAAAACATATATTAGTCTCTTCGGTGTATAAGTCGCAGCACTTGCAAATTATGCAAAAAGGGGCAACTTATACAGCAAAAAATACGGTAAATAAAACTTGTCCCAAAAAAATCTTAGCTTTTTCCAAGTAGCTTGATGTTTCAATTACTTTTAAGCCTTTTATAAATGTATATCTATACTCTTGTGATGTTAAGATTTAAACATTTTGTAAATGCTTTATAGCCTCTTTGCTAATTCATAGTTCCTTAATTGGAAAATAGTTTCATGTTGTAATTGTTAACTATTGACTCATAATAAATATTTCTAAGCAGAATAAAGAATGAACAGGAAGCATATAACGTGATTTTGAATCACCTGGGTGTGTTGTTGGTGCTGTTGTGTGAAATGATCAGCTGCCTCTCAGCTTGTGTGTGGAGTGTGCGAATGATGTTATCAGAACATAGCGCTTGCAGACGGAGGTGATTGGATTACTTGTGATCAGACGTACTGTGTTCAGTTGGGTTCAGGTTTCAGAGCAACAGTGAACTTACACTGTTTACAGCTTCAGAGATGGAAAGGAAGGCTGGTGTTAAATTACGTCTGTTTCCTCATTACAGAAGAGTTGATCAGAGCTATAAAGGGAAAGTTAACAACTTTCAGTGGAGCTGTTAGGTCAAAACCTGGAAGTGGTTACAGATTTGAACAAGTTCAGATTACCAGAACACTACTGTTCATTAACTGGAAATTGATCTGCCAATTGTTTTCCACTGAGCAAAGTCTGTCTCGTATTACCAGCACTAACACAGTTGGTGTTAGATCCTTGGCTCACATAGAAAGGTTATAGTAAGCTGGGTATTTTCTGGTGAAAAGGCAAAGGCTTGGCTTCACATTACTGCACTTCTTATTTCTGAGGACTTTTCCGTTACTGAAGCTCACACATCCTTTTGAGCAAATGTAGTTCAGATCCCCTGTGTGCACTGGGCTGACTCAATCTTTGTTAAGAGTTTGACAGAAAACATGTGAAATTGATTTAACCACTGCAACTTTTCTTTAATATGCTCTCATTTGAGCTTGAGATTTTTTTTATGCATCACTGATTAGTGTGTTTACATTAGCAGGAGTCATTTATCTTTAAAGGCATATGCATAAAGGAACGAGTCCCTGATTGCAGGCAGGGTGCAGATGAGATGTTTGTGTGCTTCTGGGCCCTTCCTTATGGGTTATAAAACTATAAAATAACATAAAATTTGCCCATTTCTTAATGCAGATCGTGTATGAATATATTTAATAATCTACTGTAGGTCCAGAACACTGTTTCTCAAATTATACAGTATGTCCGTAAACTGGTTGACCTCTCTTCAAAATTAGCTGGATCAGAAAAGTTTGGTGGTTTTACTTTGGGGCAGAATGAATCAAAGAGCGATGTAGGCTGTAAGTGGCAGGTTGTGGGCTACAGAGACAGAGCTGTGGTAATTGTTTTGGACTTTCCAACATCATGTCACCCGTTAAAATAAACCAACGGCAGCACGGTGGCAGAATTAATTTTGCTCTGAAATGTCACACTTGGCTATCAGCGCTCTGAACAAACAGCAGCTATGTATAGCTGGGCTGCTGAGGATGTATTAAATAACGTGTCACCATTGCTCTAACAGAAATCTGTAACTTCTCTTTCCTCTCTCTCCCCAGTCGCTCTGCAGCTTCCAGAGGGCCTGCAGATGTTTGCCTGCACCATTGCTGACATAATCGAAAGGTAAGGCAGTGGAACAAAAAGCTGTTGCGCTTGTAGATTTATAATATTTCAATTGAGAGCCTTGAATGAGCTGCAGGTGTGTAGATCAAGTCAGCAGCATGTGAACTTAAACTGCTGTGGTCACTTGGCACTCATTAGGGCACTGTGAGCTTTACTCTAATTCCCTGCCTTTGACTCAGTCAGGGCTTCAGCAGAAAATGAGACACGATTATGCTGTATTTTTTTTTTGGGACAGATCCGATATCATGGCTCCCATTGCTCACAGCTAGAAAAGGGAAGAGTTATCACTCTTGTTAATTACATCCTGTTTCAGTCTGCACATGCCCTAATGCCTCACACAGACTTCATTTTTAGTTTCATACTGCAGCGAGAAGTCTTTGCGCTTTGGGTCACACCAGAGAAAACAGGTTGTCTTTTTAAGGCTGTAATTTGAGGTAAATTACATTTGTTATTTAATGTTTGGCAGAGAAAAATAAAGACGCATTCCAGAGCAACTTGTGCAACTGTGGCTAAAAGCACCAAACAAAATCATTTCCCTCTATTTTTTTTTTCTTCCCTGCTGTTTTTTCTGTTGTCTCATTTCACCTTCAGTATGCTCGTGTTTGTCAGGAGCGCCGCCCTCCATGTGTTTTCTTAAAGAAAATAGCTGCTATCATTAAACACCCAGAGTGAATTCCTCTCTGTGTTCAGTCAATAGAAACCTGATTATGAGATGGACGAGATGAAGAATAGAGTGCTTGGAGCGGCCATAACTTTTTCAGGCTGAGTGGATATTTGATTTTGCGCAGGAAGCGTAGATCACATCAGTTTTAGTGTATTATTTAGATTCTTTTTACATGTTGATTAGGTTTGAGGTTCTTTATTGCCATTCGCATCACACGTGGTACATGAGGTGGAAAGAAATTGTGTACTCAAGGTCCTAGTTACACCCAAAAATATCAAAAATAAAAAGTATAAAATAAAACAGTATATAAGAATCATCTAACTTAGGCTAAACAATCATAATATAATATAATATAATACAATGTATTAAGCAGCAGCCTGAACATTCATTCAACCTTTATTTATGCAGGTTAATCCCATTGAGCCTCAGGGACTCGTTTACAAGAGAGACCGGAATTTAACAGAGTGACGACAACAATGAACAATCATAAAGGAAGCATACAAATCGAGAAGAACAAGTGAAAGAAAATGGTATTAAAAAATGAAACAAAAAACAGCTAGGTTGTAAGGCACTGTAGGATATTGAAAGCAGGACCATGTCTGCATTGGTTTTTGCCAGGAACTTAGCAGATGTTTCAAACCAATTAGAGAGGTCAAGGTTGAGAGCTTCAGACCTTTTTGCAAGATTTTCCAGGAAACAGGAGCGGAGTTGTGTGAAATGGGAACATGAGTCTGACATGGGTCTGTTGTGAGCAGATGGGTATGAATTTAGCGGCTTAAAGGCAATAAATCAGCAGTATTGGTAATCAGCAGCACAAAGTGACATCACCAATTAAAGTAACATTACGTTGATTTTTCTGGTTAGAAATTTAGGAGTCTTAACATTTGGGGAGTGGTGGCGCAGAGGTTAGAGAAGTTGGGCCTGTGATCGGAAGATCGCTGGTTCAAGCCCCGGTACTGACAACATCAAAAAAGTGGGTGGGGTAGATGAAGCACCCACACCTGCCCCCACCCTCATTCGTCCCACTCTGGGCCCTTGAACAAGGCCCTTAACCCCCACCATCTGCTCCTTCGGGTGTCCTAGATAGCAGCTCTCTGCTCCACACAGAGGGCTGTGGTAGCTCGGTGGTCTGTGGTTGCATCAGGAAGGACATCCAGAGTAAAAATAATTGCAAAGTCTTCGTGCGACTTAGTTCGCTGTGACGACCCCTAATGCAGGGAGCAGCCAAAAGAAGAAGAAGGAAAAAAAAAAACCAGCTTCAGGTAGAAGCTGTTCCTCAGACTAGTGGTTCTACACTTAATGCTCCTCAACCTTCTGCTTGAGGGGAGCGGGGCAAAAAGTGTGTGCTGGGTGAGTGGGGTCCTTCATGATGCAGGTGGCCCTCTTCCTGCATCTAGAGGTGTAAATGTCTGTGATGGTGGGGAGACTGACTCCAACGGTCTTCTGTGCAGCCTTCACCACTCTCTGCAAAGCTTTTCTTTCTGCAGCTGTGCAGCCTCCATGCCTCACGTTGATGCTGGAGCACAGGATGCTCTCCACTGCACACCTGTAGAAGGACTTGAGGACTGAGCTTCTCAGACCAGCTCGCCTCAGCTGCCTGAGGAAATAGAGTCTCTCATGAGCTTTCTTGATCAGGCTGGTGGTGTTGTTGCTCCATCTGAGGTTGTCATTCATGTACACACCCAAGTAAGTACTTGTAGCTGGAGACCACTTCCACCGCAGATCCTCTTATGTTTAGGGGGGTGTAGGTGTGTTTGTTCCTTCTGAAGTTCACAATCATCTCCTTTGTTTTCTTCACATTGATGTGAAGGTTATTCTCTTTGCACCAAACCCCCAGGTGTTCCACGTCCTACCTGTAACAGGACTCATCATTGTTTGTGATGCATCCCACCACCGCTGTATCATCTGCAAACTTTACAATACGACAACCTGGATGGGTATGAGCAGTCATATGTGAGCACAGTGAACAGGAGGGGTCTCAACACACAGCCCTGACGATTACATGTGCTGTTAGACTTTCTCTTTTTACCTTTACCTCAGTATAGCTCGTTGTCCTTACAACACTATTTAGTTATTATTTTCCTAATATACTTTGTTGTGTTATAAAGACAACTTGGTAAGTTTTGCCTTTTTATCACATGAAAGATAAAGTTTTGGGTTTATAACTCCTGCTGCTGTTAGACTGAAAGCTGCCACTGTGCTCTGCAAAGCTTTCAAATACACAACTTTGCAGCTCACATTCATGATATGATGTATGTTTGAACAGTTCATCATAAATTCTACTAAATCAGGACCATCTATTGTAATGAGAGTAATTATTGGACACTAATTGCTTTTCTAACTGTCTTCATAGCTCATCTTTGTATCAGTCATTTCATCCTCTAATCAATCTGCAGCAAAAGATATGTTTCTCACAGCTTGTCTTCAATATTCCCTATTCTCTAGTTCTCGCACTCTTTTTTCCTCGGTTTTACCCTAAATTTAATTGACTCATTTTATATATTATTCTGATGGAAGATTTGATTCTTCATGCATATTAAAACCCTCACAAGATCCTCCATCATCTGCAAAGACTGACAGTTTGATGTTATCACTTGATTAAGACCAGCTGAGTTGAGTGAGTGTGTCTCCCTCTAAAATAGAAAAATCTTTGAACACGAACAACCAAAATGGTCATTAAGAACTACACAACAGTTTTCCACCAAAAATAGATTTTTCAATTACCAATTTTTAATTATGTACCAAGCTGAACTCTGGGGAAATATTCTCACAGCCAAGAACATTGGTAAAGCAACGAGATGTGCTTAGATTTTAACAAGTTAGCCACTATATATCCCTTAAAACAATAGAATATCCAGTTACACGTCTTAGGCAGAGTTAGTCAAAGAAATGTGTGACACAGTGAGTCATATTTTCAGGTGTTGTCCCCCCCCCCACACACACACAGAAATATACTTTTTAAATAATATACTTATGGATACTGTATTTTCCGGATTATACGTAGCTCTGGCGTATAGGTCGCATCAGTCAAAAAAATGCCCCATGAAGAGGAAACAAAACACATATAAGTCGCTTCAGAGTACAAGTCGCGTTTATTTAGAAGTGTATTTCACAAAGGGCAAGAACAGACATTTAATCTGAAATAACACACAGAGCATACCTGCGATCCTGAACAAGCTTAATTAACATAATAAGCCAACGAGTCCAACAAGCAAGTTTTCATCCTTGGTGTCACTTCTGAACAACTCCGCCAACTTCGGAGGAAGATGGTGTGCGGGGGTGGGGGGATGGGCGTGTTTAGCAGAATAGGAACAACATATAGTTGTCAAGGACAGGTTTGGGACAGGTCCAGAATGTATGCAGGAGTGTAGCTAGAGTTTGTTTACAACGATTACATACAGGGTCCAGGTTGGCTTTGATCTTGGACAGCTTGTCTTTGGACCAGTGCAGCTGGTGCACCACCTTGAACTGAATTACAGCGTGTCTCAGACAGATTGAAGATGAGTAAATGTTCTTAATGATCTTTTTGCCCGATTGAGTCTGATATGAATTCCTCCAAGTCCGTTTCCCATTTCAGTTTATTGGAGTCCAAACTGGTACTAGGGTTAATTAAAACCAGCGTTGTTATTTCAGAAACTGAACACGTAGCTGACAGCCACATATCTGCTCTTTCACAGATTTATGGAAACAAATGGTGACTCTGTTCTCAACGTCACTGAGTTCCTTCCTTTGATCCCAATTTAGAGACAAAATTGCAACTTTTATAAAAAGGAAGGTAAAAGCATACACAATCTTGTTTCTTGTATTCTTTCTCTCCATAGTGTAATCTTATAGGTTGTGCCCCTTGAGTCAGGATAGTCTTGATAAGAATCTCAGCATGTCACACAAAATATGGCTGATCCTTTAAAAGGATTAACCCACAGGTGAAGGCTTTCCACTTCTAGATATTTAATTTGACATACAGCCCCATGCCTCATACATCCCCCCACACACACACTTCTCAAAAAATAGATTGCTTGCTTTTTTTTTTTTTTTTTTTGCTGAGAAGCCTGGGAGCAGTTTGAGCTGTAGGAAGGAAAATTAAACTAACTCACAGCTTGTATGTGACATGTAAGAAATAACAGGATCATGTTATGGAGAAATAGAAATATTTGCACTGAATGAAATACACATTTTTATTAACTGCTTTCTGACTACTTAAACACATGCTGCTACATTGTTTATAATACAATAAACCCATTATTTTATATGCGTTAAATATCTTAATGGAAAGCCTGAAAGTTATTAACCTTTAGGATGCTTCTACACCCTTCAGCAGATCTTGTGTTTATTGTAA